TGATGAACCATCTTCAAAACTTTAAAATTCTCTGGACCTCTTGGCCAATTTCTTATACTAAGACCTTCCAAATATCAATGAGATGTTATAGCTTCCAAATCAAAACATGTATATTGATCAATGATCTTGCTCAAACAAAACCCTAAATTGAATGGTGAATCAAAGGAGTGGTTCCTTCACATAATCAATCATAAACTTCAATCCTCTAATGGTCCAAAGAGATGGATAAAACATCTTGAGATATGCAATAACTTTTGGCTTGAAAGATCCAGAGGTTTAGATGATAAGGTTCTACTTGAGCAAGTTGTCAATGCAAACAACTTTCAAAGCTTGAGGAAGACTTGATAACAAAAGTACTTTGATCCCATCACCATGTATGAATGCAATGTAATATGATATTCATGATGAAACATAAGCAAAAAATCAAGAGGGTAAATTTTGGGGTGCAACAAATGGTTCATGGACAAATGAAACAAATAAACATCATTTAAAACAATCTTGTTTTTCAAATTCGTTTCACTGGTAACCGGTTACCAGAATGCAGTAACCGGTTACCTAGTACAGGTAATGTATATTTTTTGAAATGCTGAAGTTTGTAACCGGTTACCAGGAACCTGTAATCGGTTACCACTGTATGAAAAAGTGAAATAACCTTATTAATGATTTGGAAATGCAATTTTAGTTATATTAAAAGCCATGAAACATGTATGCATAATGTTAGATATGTTTTGAGCACTATAGTAACATAGTATATTGAATTAGAATCTTGTACCATAATGAAGATCAAATACCAAAGTCTTCTTTATGAGTAACTTAGCATGCAAGCCAAAAGTCCATATTGAGTAGATACTTGTTCTTCTTCTTTTTGATAATGTCTTTTGCCTTGATCATGATGTTAGTAATCATCAAAACATAAACTTGCTAAAGCATGACTCTACATGAATTGCTTTCTTGTTTTTTCACTAGGTCTAGTACTTTTCACATGTGATGGGAAATGTGTGTCTAATAATTCCAGGGAAGCATAAAATTATTCAATATCAGTTTTGGTATTATCAACAAATTCAATTCGTGCTTCATGATTTGTCATCTTTAGTTTGTTCAAAGGATTGCGAAAGGTTGTATATAGTGTATACTAGTACTAGTAAATGTTGAGATCTGAAGAAAATAATTATTGAAAAAGTATATTCCAATGCATTGATCATGATACAACCAATTTCCAAAAGCAATGAAGAAATGCTTCCAAACCAAAGGCTTATGGAAAAATAATGCCAATTCTCTAGCTCGTTCGTATTCCAAACAAAAACTCTATGAAAGGATTAAGGCTAAATAAGCTATTTTAGAGACTCCAGCCTTGATTAACAAGTTACCCATGGAAGAAGATTTAATCATCGCAAAAGGAAATGGCAATAACATGATAATGCATAGAAAATCCTTCAGCAAAAAACAATCACTCATTTTTTAAAAACCTTCAATAGCGTAATTTAAAATTTGATTTAGTGATAAAGTTTGAGAATGAGATGTAAAAAAAACCTTTTCTGTGATGACGAGTATCACGCTTCCTTGGGAGAAATTCGAGAGAACCGCAATACCGAGTAACACGCTTCCTCAGTGAGACATTTTTTCTAACTTCAACTGAAAATAACAACAACAATGAAAAAACAATTCAGATATCTAAAACATTGAACAGTTAACAGATCTGAGAATGAAAAGGGAATAACTTCAAAAAAGCTTACCAGCCGCAATAGTATGAGATAAAGATAAATCAAGGTATACATGCTTAGATGTCAGGACAAATGATCAAGAACAGAAAAATCAATTACTACTCATGCACAAATACTTACCACATAAATTCTATCATTCAAACCTGTCAAGCTTTCAATTAGAGACAACTACCCTTTACAAATGGGATCATACATACATCCATAGAGTCAAGTGCTACAATTAAGAGTTAATGTTTTGTGTACTACAAAACCTTCTTTGCATCTTGGGTTTTCAGAAAACACTAAACCATTATCGTTTTATATAGGGACGAGGAAGATATTCATTATGCAGCAAATGCATCTTCATTCTCAAAATTTCAATTTAACACAGACAATACACAAATCTATTTGAGTTTACGCAAATAATATTGTAAGCAAGTTAACTCAATTTTTAAGTCCATAATCATAAGCTCATACGGTTCTCATCTATTATAACTTGTACTTAATAAATTAGAGAGTAATAATATTTCAAAGTCATAAAATAACACTTACCAAAATAAGGGACCCTAGCAATAGTTTCAAGCACAAAAAACCATGCAGATTTCTATCATGATAAAGAGCATCAAGTATCTTAATCATAGAGTTCGAAAATAGTCAATTGAAGTTGAAAATGAGTAATAAACTATGAAAAAATTGATAAATTGAAGATCAGATTAAGAATAAATAATTATCGTGATAAAAATATTGTCTGATTGTTCAACCTTGATTACTTTTTTTCCCATACACTAGTAGATGAAATACTATCACTACTCGAGTTACTATCAGTAGCTAAATCTAAAATAGATATAAGAACATACAAAAAAAGTAAATAGTTCTTTACTCCTTTGCAATAATACCCTTTGTAAACATATTGGCTAGGTTATACACCATGTACAAAAATAGTCCATCATCTTCTTGCCACTAACCATCTCTTAGAACCTGAACAATTAGATTCACTCATTCATGTTGTTTATATATGCAATGAAGGAACCTTAATCCACTTGGGAATGAAGGTAACAAAGAAGGTGGTGACCCTTGTTCTAGGAGCTAAGCGAGCCATTAGTATGATGCAGCAGTGCTGACATTATTTTCTTCTGTAAAACTAATAGTTGAGTTTATTACTAGTAGCCATATAATCCCCATAAAGTCTTGCCAATCAGGACCCTCCCCTTGAAAAGACCGACCTCTCAAATAATTTGACATGCTTTTCTTACAGACAAAGGAATCCTCCCCGTAGTTAATTTCACATTACCTTTTTGGAGTCTAACATCTCTATGTCTAGAATCAGTAGTAGTACTATTGAGATCAACAAAATCACCTCCGCTAATATTTTCTGCAGAAATCATAAAAAGAACTTAATAGCATGCCAACGAATACAAGAATAAAAATAAGAGCGGTCCTCATTTCAAAATAAAAGATGGTGATATTATCATATCACTATTTTAGTCTTGTGCTCAAGGTTAATAAAGATGAATATACACAAGATTTGTATCCAATTGGGACATCAAGTACTACCAAATTTAAGTATACTTATTCCAACCGATAGTAACTTCGATATGAAAATTAAAAAAGAGGGAGCAGGAAAATATAAAACTTTTAAGGAGGATCCATTTAAGAAGGCTCAGTTGTAGAATGACCCGGAAGTATTTTCCAAAATTTAAGAGCTTGCAAAACAGCACCCTAACCGCTTCGACCTATAACCAATCATCAATATTGAAGGTGAGAAAAAACTTAGAAGGGGAGGGGGTTGAATAAGTTTCTCTTTTTCTTTTTCTTAAAGGCTTAACAATAATGGAAAGACACAGTTATTTTTATCCTGGTTCATTTGAACTCAAACTACTTCACTCCACCCGCCAAGGTGATTTTGCCTTTCTCCACAAGGACTTAATTCATTATAATCAAACAGATTACAATCACACAACCAAATTATTGTGACTAATAATTCAAAGCACAAGTAAACTTACAAGTGACTAACACCACTAAGGCTCAAACTAGTCCTAGCCTTCTTGAGAAATCTGACCAAGCTTGATCTCTCAAGGAACAAATACAAGAATTAAATCTTTACAGATAGTGAAACAAATTGCTTCTTAGAAAGCTATATCACAAACTGTGAGTTTTCACTAAGATTAGTTTTGCACAAAGTGTTTGTAAAATAATTTGTGAGCAGCAGATATTTTCAAGTAGTTGGGTAGTTGGCTTGCAATAAATGATCTTCTATTTATAACATGAAGAAAACGACCGTTGCCGCCTTCAAAAGTGGAGAGCAATTAATGTTTGCGTGTTTGCTTGCAGTATTGCATTTTCCAATGAACTAGCGTAGACACTTGAGTGCATGTAGCCGTCTTTGCATTAAATGAACAAACGACACTTGTCAGAGCATGTTTCCTGAAACTTGATAAGACTTGTTAGCTTCTTTATTCTATCAGAACTAGCTTCACATCTTGCTTCAGAATATGCTTGCAAATAACTTCTTATCAGTGCTTGCTCTCAAAGTACTTCTGAACATAGTTTATAAGGAAACTTGCTAAGCTTTAGAAGATGCATAAAATAGTTTCTTATCAGAGTCAGCATCAGAACTTGCGCTAAAACAAATAGTTCTTTCATCAAACACTACAACATTTAGGCTTTCCAGCAACAATTGAAAAACGTTTCCAAAACTCTGAAAATCGTTGCCTAAAACAATAGGGGACGTTTTCTAGGCATCTCCTGTGCGAGCGTTGCCTGTTGTTTGAGGCGACGTTTTTTTATGTTTTTTGGGAACGCTTTTGAAAAACGTCGCCTATAGTAAAGGAATAGGGGACGATTATTTACGGCCTCTGAGACAACGTTTTTTAAGCGTTGCGTTGCCAAATTCGGCTACAATTAACAATCGTTGCCTTAAACCTGAATCAGGAAGATCGTTTTTGAAGTGTAGCCATAGCTTATAGGTTGTTGTTTTATAGTGTCCACATAAAATATACAATTTTGCAATTATTATCAAAATAATATAGTCAATAATAATTGGCTTCAAAAATAATATTGATTATATAACTTAAACCATACATCCATAAAAGTTGTAATATAATAAAATCGAGTTCAAACTTTAATTCAAGATATAGTATATAGAGTACACAAAATGCCTAACATAACAATATTACTTTTAATACTTTGAAGTATGACCCTAGTAAAATAACTAAAAACATAGTTCAACAAAAGAACAAAAATCATATTTCAAGTTTAATGCTTTCAACTAGAAGCCAAAAAAAAAAGACATCATCCAACTCATTCAAGTTTGTCTTCTAGGAGTAAAGCATCCAGATCGTCCTCTTGAAATTCGTTAGATATGTCATCCTCCATAAATTCTTCATCTACGTCGTCCTCTTGAAATTCACCATCTATATCCTCCTCTTGAAATTCATCATCTAGATCTATGTTGTCCTCTTGAAATTCGTCATCTACGTCGTCCTCTTGAATTTTGTCATTTAGGTCGTCCTCTTGAATTTTATCATTTATGTCGTCCTCTTGAATTTCATCATTTATATCGTCCTTTTCAACATCTTCATTGATACATTGCTGCATAAGAAAATAAAATAAAACACATTAACCATAAGTATTTTTGGTCCAAAGGACAATTAAGACATCAACAAGAATTAAACCTCGCACAAATAAAAACTAAACCAATGAGCAAAACACATTGTTTATATTCTTCACATCTCATGGATGTGAATTAATTATGAAGGTTTTTAATGGATGTGAATTTTCGTTCTAAACTGTAATAGGTGACATGAGCTTACTAGCAAATAAATCAATTATGAAAACCATTCTGTTTTTGGCTCACTATTCAGGACTTACAATAGCCTTTAACTGTATGTATGTATGTATGTATGTATAACTTGTGCTATCCTTTTATGTTTATTTTTTGGAGTAAATGAACTCTGATGAACACTCTTACTTGTTGTATCTTCTTTGGTGTTCAGTATCATATGGATAAATTTACAGCATACATAGTGAGTGTTATCAAACAAGGGGGTCCCATAATCTTATCCCAGGCAAGTATGTTTGTGAAATATCAATGAAAGCTCGCACAAATAAAACAGTTTCAGCCACTTCTAGGTGTTGTCACTACTTAAACAATTTCAACCACTTACTTTATTCTAGGTGTTGTCACTACTTGCAAATTTTTGCATACATTAACAACCATTTTGATACTATAACATAATTAGAAAAATATAAATCAATAATATTGGTATATATGGTTACCTTTCCATGACATGGAGCATGAGTTGATGTAGATGAATGCATTTGCGGTCTTATATCCTTTGGGGAACTATTAGGATCTCCATGAGATAATCCTAACAAATCTTTAATTGACTCTATATTAATTTGAGGATTACATTGTTGCATTACGGTCTTAAAAGCATTTTGCAATCTATCAATCTTATCTTGAAACTCGTCCCTTAATGTAGAGACCTCTTCACTGTGGGCTTGTTTCAAAGCATTAATCTCTGCCTTTCTCTTTAAGGAAGTTTTAGTTATGTTTCTCCCATAACAGCGTACCCTGCCTGGACACTCCTTTCCAACAAAAACTTTAAAAGCTTCTGTATCACTTTACTCCTTTTCAACCATTTCTTGAAGTTGGGACTAGCATAAATTACAACAAAAAAAAATATTAGCTACTATTATAGACAATGTTGGCCGATTATATTAAGCAAACGTATTATATAAACAATGTTACATACAATTACTTTTCCAGTTTCTACATCCAGTTCCTTTCCTTTATTTCCTTTTCGAGTTTCAACAAACATTTCTGATTGAGTGGGCTCTCTTTTTTTCTTTTCACGCTGCACAAATCAAAATAATTCCATAACAAATTATGTGAATTAAAATTCCTATTAACGAGTCAAAGAAAAGTTTTTCACGAATACTTTAATTGAACAAAGAAACATTCATACAAGGAATAATTTATTGAGAACAAAAGAAAGTTACCACTTTTTCACGAGTCAAAGCAAAGTTTTTGGGACCCATTTGATGCATCCACTTTAGTTGAGCTCTATTTCTAGTGTTATTTTCACTGATTGCCTACATTTAAATTTGACAGAATTATTATAATAAATATTACTTAATTATGGCATACATAGAAAGGTGTAAATTCACACACATACATAAAAAATTATTAATCTTACTTGTATAGTTTCCTTACTCCAATAAGCACAAAGACTCTTAAACTGCGCTATTGGCACGTTTGGCGGATGATTTTTGAGTCTCTCGGTCATGTTGGAATACTTCAAAAAATGATTCTTCTTAATTTTGTGCTTATATCTTCTCCATGCCTCTCTAAAAGTGGTCTCAATCCAATCTCGTGCTTCAACCGGCAAGATAAACTTCCGCTACATAAATTATAAGATAAGACAAGATCAAGAAATGAAACACTTTTTTTTAATAATTAGAATAAATTGGTGAACTTTTAATCTAAACATGCACAAAGTCAAAGTCCAATATCATTATCAGTTGCCTTCATGGATATTTTTTTATGAATTATCACATTCATACCAAATGTCCAATATCAGTATACTCGTTGGGTGAAAACTAGCATCATGTAATAGTTACACTCAAAATCATGCCTACACCACAGCCCAAGAAACAAGTTTGCATCCTATACTATAGTTTTTGGTGTCTTAACCTTAACTGAAATTTATAATGTTATGGTCTGCATATTCTATTGGTTTGACCATAAGTTATCTATCTGGATAGGTTTTTGAGTCTCGACACCAATCTAGGTACATAAAAAAAGGGGGGGTTTAGCATTAGACAACTCCATCTGAACTTCTCAATCAGTCTTATGCAGTTGTCCTGTCCCTGTACCCAATACATACAACTCTTTTGCCTTCCTCTGAATAATCTATAGTTGATCAATTTATTCGGCCGAAAAGAGGATTGCCAACCAACTTTAAAATCAAACAATGAAACCCTAAGAGCAGTGCAAGACTCATACTTGCTTGCTACCAAACTCAAAAAATATGAAATAATGGCATACATTGAAGTTTCCTAAAGAAGCATATGACAATGAACGGCATACATAGTATGAAATCAGAGACATGGTGCCTACTTGATCTTCCAAAATGGAGTTAAAATGGTTGTCAGTATAAAATCTTTTTTCATGACCATTCCAAGTAAAATAGACTGAAACAAATATCTCTCTATGACATCAATAAATTAAACAAAGAACCTCACTTGCAATCACTAACTAGTCGATAAAGTAAAAGACAATGACACTTTAATTGTATTATTTCCCTAAATAACAGTTTCAACTTTCCCATAAGAATAATAAATAACAGAGCCAAAACGCGTGCTCAAGTTCATTGGGATAGGAATCCAAACCTTCAAATGGATTTTTCCTTTTCCTAGCTCCTTGACCATCACCTGCCACAGAATTTCCTAACTCATCAAGATCTAACGGAGGAACAAAGTCACATTTGCCCTCTTGCTTGAACATTCCCAAAATCAACTTCTCATCAGCAGTTGCAGACTTTCTCTCTTCTTCAGTTAGTTTGACGCTTCCATCTTGCTCACTGGCCGGTGATTGAAAAGGCGTCAATTTCCCCTATTCAAAAACAAATTAGAAAATTTCATCCAAGAAAAGAAACACGTGCTTTCGAAATGAACAACAAATAAATGAAACAAATCAACACACTTCAACATATCCCATATATATTAAATCAGCCCGAAACCCTAAGAGTAATTTTGGATCCAGAATTTTACCGGAACGGTTTGAGGGACTGTTGAAGAGTTATGCAGTTTGCGATCGAGGAAGTGAGTAAGCGATAAACGAGTGGAGTCGCTGTTACGCGAAGCTTGATTTCTCGAACTTGCTTCGGAATCATGAGAGCTGGATTCAGCGAGAGTGAGAATGTTGTGAGAAAAGTGATGCAGTTATTGAAGTTGAGGAATGGAATGGGATAGAGATGACTTAAGGATTTGGCGGGAGAGAGCGGAATGTTGAGGTGATGGATCGTTGTCTGAAAACCCTAATCGGTGTGGGTTTTTTAGGTTTTGACTTTGAGTTCACCAATTTCATGTAACAATCTAAAAATGTCCCCAAAAATATTTTAGGGGACAATTGTCAAACATTGCTAAAGAAATAATATTTTAACGCTTTAAAATCGTCCCCAAAAGCAGTTAAGGGCACAATTAACAACCGTTGGCAAAAAAATAAAAGAGTATCGCTCCATAAACGTCCCCAAAAGTATTTTAGGCGACGATTATCAAGGGTTGCAAACATATTTTTGACAACAATCGTAAATCGTTGCCTATATGAATTTAAGACAACAATTTCTACATGTTACCTAAAAAAGTGTTGCCAGAGACAACAAATGTTTTTCATCTCAGCACGTCAAAATGATTTTCAGCTCAGCATGTCAAAATGATTTTCATCTAGGAAAATACTTCAGTCAACATTATCTGAAACAAATAAATAAGCTCATCAGAGTATCAATTATATAAAATATATTTTATTGTTATCATCAAAACTCTAGGATATGATCAGAATCAATCTTATTTAAAATTGTCACCGCGTTTAAAAGAAGTAATTAAAATTTGATTATAATAATATTTATAATTTAAATCCCTTTTTAGAAAATAGAATATATATTATTACCAGATAATACTTAAAATGACATTTTATTTATATAATTATCATTGTATTTCTCATTTACATCAGTTTTTAGTATATCAGAAGTAAATTTTAAAATTATATTATTCTTGCACCAGTGCAAGTACTTAACCCTATTACCAAGGCTTTCCATTTTGACCTTTTTGATCATCTCTTAACTAAACTAGGCATGTGTGATATACCCTAGTTTGAGGGGGTGTTAAATCCTAATTTTCCTATTTGATTGCTATTTGTTTACGGTTGGTTATATAACTATCCCTATAATTTTGGTTGTTAGTTGTTTTTAGCCTAATATAAATACCGTAAACAAGTGTAAAGCATGAAGTTTTTCCATTAATGAATATTTTATCATGTTTGAGGTATATCTCTTAACAACCATCTAAGTGTAAGCGGATCTTGTAATGATTCATGAACCAGCCCTTCAGTTCCCGACCAGAAAAATGTTTGGTATATAATGACAATGAATTGTTTTTTTCACTTTCCTGAATAATTTAGGAAACCACTGTACAAGGCTTCTAAATTTAATAAGTGAAGCACTATAAATATTACACACTTGTTAGTCCATCAAACACCATGCACATGCACACTGTGTTACTTTGGTATATTGCCACGCTACCTTGCCTCCAAATAAAATCATGCCTGCTTTGCTTTCAAATATTGCCACGCTAGCTAGCCCCCAAAAAACCATGCATTCATTGAAACTTAATTCAATTTATCATATCTTTTTTTTTTTTTACATTTACTGTCAGCTAGTAGATGAATGTGTCTCTATAAATTGTTTCATCCAAGAATGAATTAATGCAACATAAAACATACAACTGTAGTTGGTTTTCTTTCTATCAAACAATGGCTTATCTTAAACTCGCTTCTTTGGTTGTCTTGTTTGCCACATTCGGTAAGTAACTTATCCATCTTTCTTACTATGAGTTCCCATTTATGTGTATGTTGTTCCAATTTTTGTTAGCTTTGTAAATTTCAGGCATGTTCGTGACTAAGAATGTAAGAGCAGTAGACTGTAATGGAGTTTGTTCTCCATTTGAGGTGCCACCATGTCGCTCCAGAGACTGTCGATGTATCCCCGTTGCTCTTTTTTTTGGTTACTGCAGACATCCATCAGGACGTTCATTGAGGACAGTCGATGAACACCCCAACTTATGTGAGTCTGATGCCGATTGTGAGAAAAAGGGAAGTGGGAAATATTGCGGTCATTATCCTAATCCAGATATTGAATATGGATGGTGTTTTGCCTCTAGATCAGAAGCAGAAGACGTTTTCTCTAAGATTACCCCAAAAGACTTGTTGAAGAATATTGGCGGTGCTTAATACCATGCAAACAAGACATGATGCACCTATCTAGTACTTTAAATAAACTATCTTTGTTTCCAACATAGGGAGTTGGATTTCTAAGATACCCATCACAATTCCAATAAATGTTATATGTGGATGGTTGCAGTGAAGTAATATATCAAGTTGCTTTTCAAGTAATGAATCTTATGACTCTAAATATATATATCTACATATATCACAATTATATATAAAAACAGAATATTATTATTATATCAAAACTGTTTTTATTTTTTAAATCAAAGTATTATTATATTTTTATAAAACAGAATATTATTTATTTTAAATCAAAACAGAATATTATTATATCAAAACAGTTTTTTTTAATCAAAGTATTATTTATTTATCTTTTATAGTGATATTTTTTTTATCTTTTATAGTGATATATTATGAACGTAACAATTTAATTATCTATTCATATATTTTAGAGGAAAGTCTTATTTTTTGTTAATATACCTGTACTTTGATTTTTTTTTAAAATGTTGTAACTCGTACTGATATCAGTACTGACATTGAGTACCATATTCGCATTTATGTGTCATAGAATTAACATTGATTTAAATAAGAGTACTACGAGTACTTTAACTCGAATATAAAAGAAAAAATCACAACTAATAAAGAATCAATTCTACTTTAAAAAATCGAGCAGGTATATGCATCACTCATAGAAATTACATTTTATTTTATCTTTAGATTCTAATGCAAGCCACCACCATCTTAATTTTGAATGTGTCATAAGATTAACATTGATTTAAATAAGACTACTACGAGTACTTTAACCCAAATACAAAAAAAAAAAATCACAACTAATAAAGAGTCGATCCTACTTTAAAAAATCGAGCGGGTATATGCACCACTCATAGAAATTACATTTTATTTTATCTTTAGATTCTATTGCAAGCCACCACCTAAAATACATTTTAATTTTGAACACTAATTTATCTATGTCACCTACCACACTCATAAACATTATATTATTTCTTGTCTTCCGCATGCACCATAATACCGCCACACTACAAGAAAACAAGTGATTAGCCAGGTGATTATACCAAGTGATAATCACCTCGCAAAATAACGTATTTCCAGGGTGCTTTTCACCTCGCAAACCAATTTTTTTATAAGAAAATTTATATGTGTTTCTATCTCGCAATTGTGAGTAAGAAATTCAAAAAAATTTAAAAGAATGTTGTCAGAAGGGAATCACCCTTTCATGTTAACTTCGTCTGGGTTTGGTTTTTCCTTGAAACAGTCCCCCTTGATTCCAAAGGAAATGGCCTTTTACTAGCTTCGATCGATTCAGAAGGAAATGACCTTCTGAAAGCTTCCTTCGATTTAGAAGGCAATGGCCTTCTGAAGGGCTCCTTCGATTGCACCATTGACCTTAAATGTTTGCTTGATACACAATGCAATGGTTACTTGCATGCAAGCTTCGGTTGGAAATTTAGTCTCCTAAATACATCCTTCGATTGAGCGTTGGTCCCTGACATGTTTGCTTTGATTCACAAAGTAATGGCTATTTGCCTTCCGTCTTCGTTTGAGCAATGACCTTTTTCTTGCATACTTCGACCCTACAAAGTCAGGGACTCCCTACAAAACTGTTTTTATTTTTAAAATTGAAGTATTATTATATTTTTATAAAACAGAATATTATTTATTTAAATCAAAACAGAATATTATTATATCAAAACAGTTTTTTTTAATCAGTATTATTTATTTACTTTTTAAATAAAAATTTATTATTATTATTTATTTTAACTAAATATTATAATTATTTTTAAAAACAGATTACATTTATAAAAATTGAATAATTAATTCTACAAAATAAAATATTATATTTTAAAAACTGAATAATATTTATTATTATTATTTAAAAACATAATTATACTTTATTATTTTAAATGAACTTTATAAAATATTTTATTTAATGAAATTATATTTTTCAATAGCATTGTAGTAACATACTTAATGATATTATGTTAAATAGAATTAATACATAAATATGTATTATATTAACTTAAAAAAATAATATTTATAGAATTTTTTTTTGGAATAACCATGTATTAAAAATAAAATTCACAAATAACCATGTTTCAGAAAAAATTACGCAAATAACCATGTTTCAGAAAACTCCCCAAGAGAGGAGTCATCCCACTTGGCGCCTCCACTCCCATTCTTGTCCTAAGCGCCGTCTCACTTGACGCCTCCTCTCTCTTTTAGTCAAGTGAGATAGGGCGTGCACTTTAAAAGTGAGAGGAGGCGCCATCTCACTTGGCTCCTAGAGCAAAATGCTGTTTTTATAAATAATTTGTCCGTTTCTCCGTCATTCCTCACACTTTCTCGCACTGTTCTCTTATTTTTTACTCTGTTATTTGCGTTATGACATCGCTCATGATTTTTACCAGAGATGCTTACATTATTTTCTCCGCCACAAAACCTCTGATGAAATGAAATTCTGGCACATTCACTCTATGGAGCGTCTGAAGAGGGAGTTGATACGATGGCTAGAGAGACATCGTGGAGGGGGAACAAATTGGAAGGATCCAGCGAAGACGAACAGCAACCTCACTTGCGACAGGAAGACCTGATTTTTGGTTGGAGGAAGTCAAAACAGACAGCGACGTAATGTTGATGATGCATGGGTCAGATGAAATTGTTTTAATGGTTGTAATTTCGTAGACAATTTATCGTGTTTTATTTCTTGTTCGCGCAATGGTTATTGTAACAAATACTGTTAACGAAAAACCCAAATGTTTACAACATAATAAAGAAAAGATTTTTTGTAATATAATTTTTATGTGGTTGAGGCAGTAGCCCGATTCAGATAACTTTTGCGGTTGTGTCCGACCTGACGACATAAACCACACTTTCTTTCCAGCTTGTCAAGGGAGTCCATTTCGGTCGTGATGCGCTTACTTTTGGGTCAACCCTTTTTATTCCTTTGCATTTGGTCATTGTGCCATACTATTTCGCCGTTGTATGCAGGCCAATAATCTGGTTTTGCTACCAAATGGAAGTTGTTGTTTTAAACGTTGAGCAACGTTTCAGATTTGTAAATGGGAGACAGAAGTTGTAGGGCGTCTTGATGTGTACAGGCACACACGGAAATGAAATGAGAGCAAGGCATACGAAAGGCTTGAAACTTGTCACAATCGCACCAACGAGAAGGTAGTACAACCCTATATTCTTGTCTTGGCAGGCCCTTGTTATGGTCGATTGTCTCTTTGATAATGAAGTTGTGGTTGTGTCAGTCAAACCGTATAACCAGATGGGTGTTGGATTTGGCACTTTCTGCCTTAATGTACTTCATGCAGCTTTCACTCCATAGTTGTCCAGATTGCAACACAACATTCCATATTTCACCTCTTTTGGAAAATAACGAAGCCATCCTAAAATATGTTGATTTAACCAAAGCAGTGACCGGGAGGTTTCGTATGCCTTTGAATACCCCATTCATCGATTCAATTAGATTTGATGTCATGTGGCCCCATCTTTGCCCATTGTCGTGTGACCTAGTCCATTTTTCTACCAGAATATTATTGATCCGGCTTCCGGATTTGACAAACGGATCTCGTTGCGATAATATTTGAACGTAGGTTGTTTCAATGCATATCCCGCATTCATAACCGCTTTCCTAAGAATTTTGTCTTTGATCTCCCTCGTGAAATTTTGGACGATATGTCTAACGCAATAGAAATACGTAGAAGGAGGGTCATGCCAACCATTTGCAGGATTATTGTATTCACTTTCAATGGATGCATGTCTATCAGTGATCAAACATAGATCTGGTTGATGAGCCACGTGTGTTCGGAGATTTTTGAGAAAAAAGCTCCAAGCACCACCAGTCTCCCCCTCGAATAGGGCAAAGGAAATTGGGAAAATGTTGTTGTTGCCATCTTGTGCAACTGCCATCAATAGCGTGCCTTTGTATTTTCCATACAACCAAGTCCCATCAATTTGTATAATTGGTTTGCATGACGCAAACCATGTGATGCAAGGTTGAAAAGCCCAAAATACTCGACTGAATATTCCATTTCCGTTGAGTTGAGTACAATTCGGGGCGTATGCTGGCACTGTTTCTAGAATGTAAACAGTACCCAGAGAATAAGTCTGGAGTGCATTCAGGTAGCGAGGAAGTTCGTGGTATGACTCCTCCCAGTTTCCATATACCTTTTCAATCTCCTTGGTATTTGCTAACCACGCCTTTCGGTAAGACGGAGTATAGTTAAACACCATAGTGATGTGGGAGATTTTGGTTTTAACCTTCAATAATGGATCGTTGCTGACGAGTGATAGGATTTCTTGACAAATGAGATCATAATTTAGTTTCCGATGATCCTGTGATTGAGTAGAACTGACACAAGTGTGGATAGACATGGAACCTATGACCCAACAATCACCTCTTAATATGTATGATGCAGTGAGCTTGAACATACAATCAGGGTGGACACACTTGATCTTGTACCTTTCTGGATTTACACGGTCCACCTTAAAATCGACCTTGAGCATGTGATATTTTTTGATAGCTCTGATACATTCTTCTCTGTTACGAAATTTATCTTTCTCTTTTAAGTTTTCATCCGACTACATATACGGATTGAAAAATAAATCAGAAGACGGTTCATCTCCGCCTATATTGAAGTTTGTCATGTGCGGAGGTGGTGTGTAGATCTCGTTTGAAAGAATACCAGATATCCCAAAATACTTATTGAAGAATATTGCTGGTGCTTAATACCATGCAAACAAGACATGATGCACCTATTTAGTACTTTAAATAAACTATCTTTGTTTCCAACATAGGGAGTTGGATTTCTAAGATACCCATCACAATTCCAATAAATGTTATATGTGCATGGTTGCAGTGAAGTAATATATCAAGTTGCTTTTCAAGTAATGAATCTTATGACTCTAAATATATATATCTACATATATCACAATTATATAATATTACAAAAAATAATTGAAAAGAAAAAAACCATCAT